TGTGGGAGTGGGGGGGGGAGTGTGTGGAAGTGTGTTGACACCCCAAAGGAGACTAATCCTCCCTCAGTACTCATCCCTTGTCCACAGCTAAGAGAGGTCTTTTTAATAAACACCACAGGAGTAACAACACATGTGTTTCATTCCTGTCTTACAGGATACATTAAAAATCCATTCAAATGGAACACAGAACAGAACATGAAGCTAAACTCTATAAATATCTAGAAGAAAGCAGAAGGCCTTTGGGGTCCAGGAAATGATTTTTGGATGTGGCACTGAACATGAAAACATTGATAAATGGCACTCTCTTGAGAAGACTGTGGGAAGGGAAGCGGAAGCTGGGTGGCGCACACCTGATGAAACACGCTTCTGATGAAAGACCTTCGAGGAGGACTGGAAAGAGAGTGGTTGGAACACACAGAATCTGCTCAGACACCTGAGAGCCACTGTCACTGAGTAGACACAGGAAGGTGTGCTCAGAGTCCTTGGCTCTGAGGGGAGCATATAGTAAAAGCAGGAGAGAACACAGTGCCACTTCTATGAGAATGGCCACGATAAGAAGACTGGTCATCCAAGAGCTGGCAGGTGGGATGGTTAATGTCGCCAACTTGACAGGATCAGGAATCACCAGGAACACAAGCCTCTGGCCATGTCTGTGGTAGAGTTTCCAGGTTGCATCCATTGAAGAGGGAGGACCCCCCCCCCCCCGGAATGCTGGTGGCACCATCCCATGGGCTGGGATCCTGGGATGAACACAAAGTGAGCTGAGCACCAATGTTACCTCTGTCTGCTCCTTGACTGTGGCTGCAATGTGGCCAGCTGCCGTGAGGGCCCACAGCCATGCCTTCCCTGCCGTGACAGACTGTGCCCGCAAACACTGAGCCAGGCCATCCCTTCCCTCCTTAAGCCGCTCCTGTCAGGTGTTTTTGTCTCAGCAGTGAGGAGGACAATTCAGCAGAGCTGTGGAAGAACCATGGAGAGCCACTGCTGTTCCACACGCTACAGGAAGATCCACTCAAAGACGTGTGAATGTCCATAGGAGCTTCATCACAGTCCCCCGAACCGGAAACGTGTCCAACTCCCATCCCCACATAAGTAGACAAAAGCTTGGCACATTCCTGACGTGGAACCACACTGCCATGGCTCAGCAAGAAGAGGAAGTGAAATATGGATGCCCGTGACAGCACAAAAGAACCGCCACATAGTGAACAGTGAAAAAGAGACCCTTGGGCCGGGCGGTGGTGGCGCACGCCTTTAATCCCAGCACTCGGGAGGCAGAGCCAGGTGGATCTCTGTGAGTTCGAGGCCAGCCTGGGCTACCAAGT